TTTTTTTAATTGAGAGACCCGGAAGCCTTGGCTGAGGCTGGAAGTCTGGGTGGGATGGACAAGCGTGTGGCCAAACCTCCTCTCCGGGGAGGCAGTGTCTAATAAGCTCAAGCAGGTTAGGCAGCGCACAGCACTGCTGGGTCACCGGGCTGGCTTTCTGGGGGTGCTCCTACGGGTGTAGCTGGGAGCTCTGCAGGCAGCCTCCTTTTCCCAGTCCCAGCTCAGAGGTCAGGGCAAGAAGGTTACCCAAACAGTGCCTGGGGAAGCCCGGCTCCGGGCAAATGCCTAGGCATCGACAGCGAGCCCCAGGGACCCAAAGCAGAGAGAGACCGAGAACACTCAGATGGAGGCGGTGACTCAGACCCACGTGCCTTCTCGGTCAATGCTATTTGAGGAAGAAAGCATCAAAGCGGCCTTCTGAGCAGGAGAGAACCTGGCTCCTGAGCCTTTTGGCCGTGAACAGCTGGAATGTCAGGGCGCCCGCCTGGGCCCCGGTTCCCATCAGAGAGAACACGGAGTGTGGTGGTGGGGATTGAGACTCAACCTGCCTCCCGGTACAGGGCTGTTTTCAGTCACCAAGAGGAGCCCTAACGAAGCCTGCAGCCCAGCCCCAGGGAGGAGGAAGTGGTGGTGGTGGGGGGAGCTGGGGCATGACAGGTTTCTGCCTGACGGGCCTGCCCAGAGCCGCCATGGGAGGCCACCCCATGGGAATGGCAGCTCAGATGGAGCCCCAGCCTGCATCCGGTAAAGCAGCCGCTGCCAACAGCTGCTTCCGGGGAGCTCAGGCCTGTGCACATAGCAAAGCCTCACCTCTCACCCTCCCACTGGCTCTTCTCACGTCCTCCCCGCCCCTAAGGGCAGATGGCAGCAACTGAGCTCCTCATTTGAATATCCAAATTGTTTCCTCTGAGTGACCCCTCTCATTAGCCTTGCTCCCCAGGGTGAGGATGGAGGGGTGCGGAGGGGAGGGCGGCAGCGGGGGCAGTTGGCATGTGAGGCCCTTGCTCTGCCAAGTTCCAGCCTGTGTCCCGCTCACAACAATAGTACCACTGTCAGCAATTAACCCACAAAAGTGAGGGTGAGAGAGAGAGAGCGACAGAGACAGTGAGACAGAGAGACAGAGGAGGGGAAGGCGAGGGGGATAGAGAACAGAGTGGCTACTGAAGGCCATTTTCATGCCCCTTCAGTACCACTCCCTGGCTCCATAAGAAAACAAAAGCCACTTACGTTTGCCCTGCTGGCAGGCCCTGGTGGCATCGCCCGATGCTGGCTGGGGGAGTCTGCCGGGCACAGGCTGGCAGTGGGGGTACCAGGCTGGCATTTGGAGCCACCCATTTCCAGAGCTGGCTCCACAGGCCTGGGATAAGGAGGGTCCCTCCGTCTGAAAGCCCGGCGGAAGCGGGGCGGCGGGATAGGCCGCGGGTCCAAGGGGTCCCCCCTCCCGGTGGGATGAGCCCCCGCACCGAGCTGAGGTGGGGAAGCCCAGGGCCGCATTTGCCCCTTAAGAACTGGCCACAGCTTCTTGCTCTGCACTAGCTTCTTCAAGGAGACTTTGCACCAAGCTCCCTCTCGGGACCCTGGTGACACACAGGGGTTGGGGGAAGAACGAGGCAGTGGAGGGAGGCGAGAGAGAGAGAGGGAGCGACAGAGGTGACCACCTACCCGGGCGGCCTGACTGCGAGCAGGCCCAGCTCTGGGTGAGGAACTCGGAGCTGGGAACAGGAATCTCCCCGTCCCTATAAATAGCAGGAGCCGCCCCACCTCTCAAGCAGGGCCCTTAAAAAGCCCTGAGCTCCAGAGTCATGACTTATCCCAGAAACTGATCCTGCTTTGGGGGACTCTCTTCGCAGAAGCACAGGAAGGAAGGACCACGTGGCTTTTCCCAGGCTGTGAAGGATCCCAATTACTGGGACACACGGTGGGAAAGCCCCGGTGTCCCTTAAACAATGGATAAGGAGGAAACAGGGACAGAATGAAGTGGAAAGCTGTTCCTACGGAAGCCATCAGTTATGAGGTAACTTTTGACTCCCTCGGCAGCCAGGGTTTCCAGACCCAAGGGTGAAACTCAAAGTGGCCTCAGGTCCTACCCACGGAGATGCTGCTGCTGACATTTTTTTTTTTTAAGAGAGAGTGAGAACGGGAGGGGAGGGGCAGAGGGACAGAGAGAGAACCTTAAACAGGCTCCGTGCTCAGCGTGGAGCCAGACACAGGGCTCGATCCCACGATCCTCAGATCAAGACCTGAGCTGAAATCAAGAGTTGGACGCTCAACCGACTGAGCTGCCTACGTGCCCCTGCTGACACTTTTTTAAGCCAGAAAAAAAGATCAAAGCTGCCCTGGAACCCACCTGTGCTTCTATGGAGGCATGGTGCTGTTTTATACTCTGCTGGTCAAAGCGAAATTATTACTGTCGTCCTGCATGTGTTTGCTAAATATTCTCCCTGTGAGAGGAGATGGACGGTGGTGATGGCTGCACAACAATGTGAATGTGGTCAATGTCACCGAGCTGGATGCTTCAGATCGGCCAAGATGGGTAAATCTTGTTGTGTATATTTCACCAGAGTAAGAGAGAGAGAAGGAGAGAGACAGAGAGCGGCAGAGACACAGAGAGAAAGAAATAGAAGCTGAGAGAGAGAGAGAGAGAGAGAGAGAGAGAGAGGCAGAGGCAGAGACAGAGGGATGGGGGAGAGAGAAAGAGGGACAGGGAAACAGAGGGAGACAGAGAAAGACAGAGGGAGAGAGCAAGTACCGGCAGGCTTTGAAACAAGAGAGACCAGAACTGCATGCCTTGGACTATCAGGCAGGGTTGTTGAGGGGTCTGGACCAGGGTCTGGCGACCAGTGAGCACTAAACACTGGTTAATGCCGTGACTGAGCCTCATTACCACACAGCGTTTTGGGCACCGCAGGTCAGAAAGCAGAAGCAACTTGCTCCAGTCCACAAGGCCATCCGGCCACAGGGTCACAAAGAATCCCCTAAGCCTGGTTCAGTCCTTACCTCGTGAAGTGACTACACACTAGGAACCGAGATTCCAAACCACCTGCCCCCACAAGGGCTGTTTGGGCACAAAACTCAGCCCTGAAGAGGAGCCATGTCTCTAATAGCGTCCCTTTTCCTCTCCCCTGCCAGGGCCCAGGGGCCAGGAGACAGAGGCAGAGGGGAGGAGAGGACTACCAGGGGGAGTATGCAGCAGACTGGGGTCTGGAACAACAAGAAGAAAGGACTCCTCTCCGTTTCCAAACGGCACTTGTGAAGGGGAACGGAAGGCACACAACAAGGTCCTCACCGGAGCAGCGGAAATCCGGCGGTTCTTGCCAGGTGTCGTATTTTTTCGGTTGGCATAGCGGGAGGCATAGGTTCGGGGCGGCACCTGAGGGGGCATGGTCTTGCTCCGGGCCACGGGTTTTCCGGGAGTGTCCTTGCCAAAGTCCAGGGGCCCCCGGCCCTCCTTCCAGCCCCTGGTGGTGTCACGCAACATTTCTGCATCGTAGGTTGACTTCAGGTTGAGCCGTGTAATCGCATCATTGATACCGTCATAGTCCACAGGCCCCAGGAGGCGTCCCGGACCCCCACCCCCCAGCTCCTCGTCCTCTTCTAGGATGCGACGCCCTAGCAGTTTGCCTGGAGGGTGCTCGACCGAAGAAAAAGTGTTGACGTCATTGGGCTGGGAGATCTTGGAGGATGAGGGAGACCCCTTTCTGGGAGGCAAGGGAGGGGTGTCCCAGATAGAGACTCGGGGTGGCAAAGGAGGTGGGGACAGTTTCTTGGAGGAGCCATCTATATCTCCTGGTCCTGGGGACAAAGAAAGCCCTTCATCTGAACCATCAAAAATATAGAGATAGTCTCCAGCCAGAGAGCCTTTGGGCCAGGGATCTGGGCCAGGCTGGGAGCCCTGGGAGGTAGAGTGGTTGGCTAACCCTTCCTGTGGGGACAGCGAGTTGTAATTGAGGGTAGGATCAGAGCCAGAAAGACCGCGTAAGAGCTTAAGGTCCTTCTGCCTCCCCGACGGCTTGCTGTAGAAGTCTAGGACGGGCTCGTCCCAGCTGATGAGAGTGGGGTCTGTGCTCTGCTTGGCTCTGTTCTCCTCCTTGTCGTGCCGGAGCTGGGACAGTGCATCATACTCCATCTGCAGGGCTTCGGCCATGGCCAGCTCTTTGCGGCTGATGCCCACCGACTCCAGGGACTTCCAGTGTTCCCCATTGCCCTGAGTCGAAGACATGGTGAGGATAGGTGGCCGAGGAGACAAGGAAGCCTTCTACTTCCTGCCAGTGTCAGGGCTGCAGGGTTCTGGCATGGTGTCTCGGCACCTGCAGGGGAGGGGTTAAAAATGTCAATCATTCAGTCACGAAAAGACTTGTTTTAATAATCTGACTTAGGCGACATCATCCGGGCCACTGCCTCCTTCTTGCGTGCCTGTAACCGATGGGGAGAAACAAAAAGACGGAGAGAAAAAAGAGATCCCGGGCGCCTGGGTGGCTCAGTCGGTTAAGCGTCCGACTTCGGCCCAGGTCACGATCTCATGGTCCGTGAGTTCGAGCCCCGTGTCGGGCTCTGTGCTAACAGCTCAGAACCTGGAGCCTGCTTCGGATTCTGTGTCTCCCTCTTTCTCTTCCCCTCCCCCGTTCATGCTCTGTCTCTGTCTCAAAAATAAATAAAACATTAAAAAAAAATAATGATGAAAAAAAGAGATCCCAAGACAACTCTATCTATGTAACACATCTACCCTTCCACTCATCAATAGACGTTTCCATCTGTGGTCCCTTGCTCCCACCCTCCCCTCTCTCACATGTGCCCCGAGGAAAGGAGGAAGCGCCTTGCATCAGCCAAGAGAAGATGGAAACAAGGGCTCTTTGGTCCGTTTAAAGAGGACAACTCTCAGACACTGCTGGTGGGGAATGAAAAATGGGACAACCACTTTGGAAAGCAGGCAGCCTCTTGTGAAGATAAACACCCGCCTACCACAGGACTCAACTATCCCACTGCTAGTTACCCTCCCAAGAAAAATGAAAGCATATGTCCATACAAAGACTCGTATACGCATATTCACGGCAGCCTGGTCATATCCCCAAGCTGGAAACAACCCGGGTCGGTCCATCAACAGGTGAATGGATTAAAAAATGTGATTACGTGCACATAATGATACCAACTCAGTGGCAAAAAGGAATGAAATTACTGACACGTGCAGGGACATGGATGCATCTCAAAATAACTATTCTGCGTCAAAGCCAGACCCCCCCCCCAACAAAAGTATGAATATGTAGGATTCCATTTATATAAAATTCTGGAAAATGAAAACTATCTACGGTGACAGAGAGCAGATCAGCGGTTCTCCGGGAAGGGGTGGAAAGATGACACAGAGGCATAAAGGAAACTTTGGGGGATGACAAATATGTTCAAGGACTTAATCGCAGTAATAAATGCACGGATATATAAATACGTCGAAACTTATCAAATTGTACACTTTAAATACGTACGGTTTATTGTACGTCTAATATACCTCCATAAAGCTATAAAGTGAAATGTACAATAGAGTCCAATGAAACAGACCGTATAATTACTCAGACTGCACTAAGGTCCTCCCAAAATACACCAATATGAGCAATAAAACAAAGCCTGGCAACAGGTGAGACCCGGGTACTTGGTGGATGATAGGTGTGCCATATTAATTCTCCTTGGCCCTCAGGAAGCCAGGCAGGAAGGCAGAATCCCCAGGCTAGCTGCCCCTGGCCGCAAGCAGCCCCCTTCATGTACCCCACTGTTAGTATCCTTTTCTTTAGAAGCCACGACACGAAGATGACACTGAATGGTTGTAATGACAAGGCTAGCCTGGCCCAACGGTTCTCAACCCTGGTTACTCATTAAAAATACCGGGGGCACTTTTTTTTTTTTTAAAGTACTGATGCCTGGTTCTCTTAAGAGATTCTAATTTAATCGGTCTGTGGTAGAGCAGTGGTATTTTTAAAACCCCAGGAGATTCTAGTCTGCAGCTGAAGCTGAGAACCACAGACACATGTGTGTGTATGTTTCGGATTAGGTAGGGGGAGGTGAAGGTGAAGTGGCCACTTCTGACCCTTAGTGCCAGCAGCCAAGAACTTCATGATTTCATGGAATCATCAAAAATTATTCATTCTGTTGCGCTGCTTTACCCAGCAGGTAATAAACATGAGCATGTTGTTCCTTATGATTAGAAAGTTGAAAAAGTCAAAAGAAAAAAGGTTCCGATAGATACTTGGGTGGCAAATTCCATCAGGTCCCAAATGAGTTAGGACAAAGGTATCCCTTGGCCTGAGGTGCCTGTCTAGGGCCCTGGTGCCTCCATCAGGCCCAGGTGCAGCACCCTGACCTGAAGGCCATGGCTGGCTCAGAGAATCTTAACAAGTAGTTCCCCAAAGATGGAATAGCCCAGGGCATATGACGTGACTCTTTGCCTGTTGAGTTTGCCCACTCGTCAACAGCTTCTTATGGATTACCTTTTTTTTCTTCACTTTTTATAGTTTATTTATTTGAGAGAGAGAGAGAGAGAGAGCATGAGAGGGAAAGGAAGCAGGGGAGGAAAAAAAAGGAAGGAGAGACAGGGGAGACAGGAGAGGCAGAGAGGACAGGAGAGGCAGAGAGGAGACAGGGACAGGCATATATATATATACAATCCTGCTCAGGTTCCTCCTCGCTATCAGCACAAAGCCCCACGTAGGGCTTGATCCCATGAACCATGAGATCAAAACCTGAGCCGAAACCAAGAGTTGGATGCTTAACCGACTGAGCCACCCAGGTGCCCTCTTACAGATTACTTTTTACCTACTAAGGCTAAGAGGGAGTCTTGCTATTTGAAATTCAAAGGAATTGGATGAACAGATGGAAATACCCAGAACACAGCTGCTGGGAGTTGGGAGACTGGTCCCAGGAGAAGGTTCTAGTGCTTTCGACAGGAGATACCAGATAAACGCTCCAAGCTGGACCAAGCCTTTTATTCCAGAGAGTATCAAGATTTGCCTTCACCAGGCACCACTGTGAGGAGGAAAACTGAGGCCGTTGGAAATGATCTCTCTCAACGTCCTGCCTCTCTTCCCATGAAAGTATCCACACTTGCATTCAGCCTCCCCTTCTTGCCCTTTTTGGTCTCAGGGGAAGAGGGTTCCTGCCTCCTGCTGAGGCACAATCCCAGGAACCTCCCTTCCCTCTGCTGTATCTTCACTTCTTTTCCTTAAGGGGGTCTCTCTCTTCAGCACCTTAACATGTTCAGGCTGCTCCTAGCCTTAAAAAGAAACAAGGGGCGCCTGGGTGGCTCAGTTGGTTAAGCCTCTGACTCAGCTCAGGTCACTATCTCACGGTGTATGAATTTGAGCCCCACATCGGGCTCTCCTCTGTCAGCGCAGAGCCTGCTTCAGATTCTCCGTATGTCTCTGCCCCTCTCCAGCTCTCCCTCTCTCAAAAATATATTTTTTTAAAAAAAGAAAATGAAAAA